GAGTGGGAAGGGGCTGCCATTTGGATTACAGGGTCAGGTCACGCCTCGAGTGAAGTCCTGTGATTATATAAAACTGTTAGATTGCATTTTCTTTAAAGCTGTGCTGTACAGCAGATTGTTGTTGCTGCTGTTTGACCGCATGAATGTTATTTTTATTTAGCAGAAGATTGTCTGGCTCAGTGTGATAATGACTGCAAAGCTTACTGCTGTGATGGGACTACTCCCTACTGCTGTTCGTATTATGCCTACATTGGGAATGTCCTTTCGTGAGTATATTTGTGCTTTAGAAAAAAACTGATGTGCTGTGTTCATGGACTTGATGTAAAATTGGGTTACAGGAGACTGTGTTTTGGCAATAAATGGTGGCAGGGTTTGGGTTTTTTTGGGTTTGGTTTGGTTTGGTTTTTTACATCAGTATTCCTCTAAAGTCTTATGTTGGGTATACTTTTGAAGCATACCAGAAAGCTTGCTAAAATTGAGGATTATGTCCTTAACTTGTGTACAGTCATATAATTTGTGGATTTGAGCTTTAGAGGTGGTGAGAACTTTGTTTCAAGCTGTTCAGATGAGGACTGTGAATAGAAATCTTGTGGGTTTTATTGAAATGCTTTGTTACAATACCTGAGTCAAACCACTATTCAAATGACTTGGATTTGAGATTCTTTTTGCCTTGAGTACTTTTCCCTTTTTATTGACTTGTTTGTTTTTGTCAAATGGTGTTTTGGCTTTTGGTGGAATTTATTGAATAGATTCTAGATGAGGGTAATCTGACCCTTTAACACTGCAGGATGAATAGCATGTTTCATAGTGCTTAAAAAAAACCACAGCAGGTGAAATGAGGTGGATATGAATGTTTCCTATCTAGCGAAAAATAGAGTAAGCTGTTGATTAAAAACATAGGCTCCAGTGCAGCTGTTAGCTCTGTGTCGGTGAGGAAGAAGAGAAGACTTCATGCTAGTGGACCTGACTCCAGTCTCTGGGCTTAATTTAAGTGACAACCCGTAAGTATTGTATTCGTGTGCAAGGACAAACCTAAACAAAACGTAAAATGTTGTTTTTCAAGACAGGGCATCTTACCTTCTGTTTCATCAACCCCAGCAGTAATCCTTAACCTTTAGCATTGCAGCCTGTGACATGTTTTTGGTTTGTGTTCTTGACTAAAACCAGAAAAGGAAGAAGAGGTGCGTCATACAGACTGTTTGGTGCTTGGGGAGGAGTGAGTAGGAAGGTGGTGCTTGCTTTTTCTAAAAAGGCTTCTCTGTTGCAGGTTTTGTTTTAGCTGTGGCACCTGGGGAACATGCCAGTGTTCCCTTCAGCATATTTTATAGCACATTGACGGAGCAGGCAGAGTGATGGTATTTTAATACAGAATTGATCTACAGTTTTTAAAGCAGATCAGACACTTCCTGGGCTAAAGTAAATAAAATTATGATAGAGCACCAGAATCCTTTATTCTTCTGGAAATAAAAAAGCATGTACGTAAGACTGATTACTGTTGGAGAATGACAAGTGATTTTTTTTTTTCCCCCGCTCACCTAGGGAATGTCTGCTTTCATATTTTTTTTTCTTTTCTCATTCCAAAATTGCTTTCCTATTTATATGCATGGAAGGAAGTGCATTTTTTGAATACCTTATTCCAGCTCTCATGTGCTTAGGAATGATGGACACAATAACATAGGATATGACATTGTAAAAAGGAGATTTCCCATAGAGCAACAAAGCAAGTGGGTTTATGTCCCACTCCCATGTGAACATCACTGGCATTTGTCTAGCGTAATGTCAGAGCTCTGCTTTGGAAAGGATCGACCAGGGGATTCTTTAGAGTGACTGCTGAAATGTTCAAACCATGCTTTCAGCACCAGGTTGACACCTAGTCTTTTGTATGTTTATTTAACAAATGTAAACAGCTATTGAATTAGAGCTGAGTGCGAGTGGCTCTGACACATTAGAAGGGTTTGTGTGTATCTGGATGGTTTTGAATACTGAAGGGGCTCTTACAGGTGCTGTTTGCCACATGTCTTGAAGGAGACTTTTGATTCTTCTAATTTTTTATGGTTAAGTACTCCAATTCATAGACTCAAAGACCAGTCAGGAGTCATTATACTCTTCTGACCTGAGATTTTGTGTGATTGAGCCATAGATTTTTTTTTTTTTTTTCCCTAAAAGCTGTTTGGTGCTTGCCGTGTTTAAACATGTATAATCTTGTTTTGAGAACTTCAGACATTAATGAGTTGACTGTCTGTCATGGTAAACTGTTCCATAGTTCATTTACTAACATCACTGGGAAATTTTGCTGGGAAACAAAGGTTGAAATTCCTACTGTCAGCTCTTAACTTATCTATGAGTTTGAAATGTGGCTCTAAATAGCCATCATGACAGCTCTTAACGTTATCGCTGAGCTGGGTGAACTCTGTCAGCCTCACATGTAAGATTTGCTTTGTTTTGCTTTGCCCTGCCCAGGGGTCAATGCTTTGGCCTTCCTTTGAGCTCCCTCTAGTATTTTCACGTCCTTCTTGCAGTGTGGCTAGCAGGGATGAGCATAGGGTTTTGACAGAAGCCTTGCTAGGATTTTTTTTTCCTGTACCTCTCTTTGAGTACCTATTTTGAAGCAGCTGTCTGTGATGATCACAGAAGACATAAATGAATTTAGCAATTTGTTACAGCTCTAAGTCCTTAAGTCACGGTCTTCAAAGCATGTATACTGCTTTAAGCCCACAAACTTTTCTTTGCTAGGGTTACTAACTTGCCTTTAGTTGCATTGCAAAAGATGTTATTGTGACTTCATCTGTGCTCCATAAGAATAACCTTCCCTTTTCATTATTTGCCACTATATTGATCTTTTTTTTTTTTTTTATGTGCAAGCTTTTCCCGCAGAAGGTTCACATTGCCTCATCCCCAAATGACAAACCGATGAAATTGCATTAGAAGAAGAGCTGGAATTTGGAAATGGCTGCTAGCAACCTAACTGCTTATGTCTTTCTGTTAACAACTGTGTATTGAAATATTTTAAAGAACCATTTTTAATCCAACAAACTATGTGTCCTGATAATTCCACGTAATGCTATTCTTTAAATATCTTCTTCTCATGTGTCATCATTTTTGATCCTACTGTCTGCACCAAACAATGGGCTTGAGCTGTGTGAGTACTTTCAGAAGAGCCTTTTTACTGTCTTTAAACACCATTAGTAGTCCTCAGTGTTGTATTGGCTCCTCTGCTTCTTTAGACATTACCTATGCTTCTTAATTTGTTTGCCACTAATGTTTCTGCTCTCTCCATTCTTTGTAAATCTGCATGTCTTTCTGAAGTGTCTGCTCTTTATCTTCTCTAGGATGTTTTTTTTTTTCACAAGCATAGCTCTCTTCTTGCACTTCTGGAAAAGCCTTTTGGTGGGCAGTAGGTTCTTTTCTAAGCAATTCTCTGTTTTGTTTCACGCCTCTCACTCTTCTCTTTGTAGACCCATATGCCAGCAATTGTGCAAACAAACTATAAACACCAGGCAATAATGTATATATTGATTATAAAACAAAGTCAGTGTGACTAGATCATGATCATTGATATTTAAGTTGCTTGTAGCTTTTAGGTGATTAATTAACTCTCTTTGGTAATTAAAATAAGATTCAACTTCAAGATATTCCATGTAGGGTTTTAGAATTTTCTATTTTAAGACATCGTCATCTTTTTAGGACACCAGGGAATTTTTTTTCTTTAGTCAGATGAGGTTTTCAGCAAACATCCTCCAGGCTGTGTGCATCTGTGATTAGCCTGTTTTTCTTTCCACACATGAAGAACAGATGCAGAGTTATCAGCTCACTCTAGTATTAGGATTTAAGGGCCTGTAAGAGGTGTTCCAGTAACTCCATCTTTAGTTGGACTACAGGTATAATCTGTAAGCATTCCAAGTCTATGGTTGAGTCATTTGTAATCCCATGAGCATCTCTAAGGTAAAGTAACACATCCTTCCTCCTCCTCCTCCTCCCCCTTTCATGGTACCCTTTCAGAGCAGGTTGTTACAGTGTTAATGTTCCAGCTATATTTCCCTTCCCAGTAGTTTTCAGCAGCTACAGCCTGTCATTATTTCCTCTGATGCATATACATTTCCTCCTGTTTGTTTGCTCCGCATCTAGTGCTTAACACGTAGACCTTCGAAAAATGTTTTTTTCTCGGACAAATTACAAATTTGTGTTTGGATTTGTGCAGCATAATGGAGCTGTGTCTGTGGAATGAAGGAAAAGGTGCAGGGATGCTTGATGCTTGTCTGTTCCTCCTGCCCACCTTTTCACTCCCCACCAGAAGAAAGGCTGGAGGCACCCTTCCCAGCCTTCAGCATCATCCTAGCCCTTTGAGTCAAGAAACTCAAACTGCCCTCTTCCTCAGAAGTTGGTTTCTAAGCTATTGAATCATTTGTGACTGACCTTTTATCAGTTTCCCTGTGCTGCCTCGGCTTCTGCAGCCTGCTGCCAGGCTAGGGACTGTGAGGACTGCAGCGTGTTTTCTCCATAACAGATGCTCCAGGTTTGCCCACAACAACAGGATCTCCGTAACTAACCAACCGGCAGCATTTTGCCTTCTGTTGCTCAGCGGAATTGGAGACGTCTGGTTATTGCCTTCAGCTCCAGCCTCAAACCCCAGAGCTCCTCAGAGGGGGCAGTTGGTAGGAAAGGGGTTTCCTCTGCAGAACCCAAATTTGTATGTGTAGGTGTTTCTGACAGTGCTCTTTGTATTTGCTTCTGAAAGGCCCCAAATTGTCTGGCCCTCATGCTTATCCTGGTGGGTTTTCTGTGGGTTAATTTCCAGGTTAGTCTTCTTTACTGCATTTTGCCTTGTATTCATTGTGGCCCACAGGTAACTTTTGAGCCACGGTGAGCTCCCTGGGCAGAGATGTCAGTAGTTGTGTGCTATCGGGGGTGCTCCTGGATGCTGTCTTTGCTCTTTCACATCACTTCAGGCCAGTAGCTGTGAGTTGATGTGAAATAATTGCAGATCCCAGGTAAATGATGGAGCAAAAGATGAGAAATAGTCCAGCTATTCTTTCAAATTACACTGCTGGGCCAATTGAATATTCAATGCAAATGAAGGGACTTACACCTGGATTTGGCCCGCAGTTTAAGAAAACTCATTGATGGGTCCGTGTTTTCCTGGGTAAGTTTTTAACAGTAGTAAACTGGAGTATTGGCTTAAGCAGAAAAAGAAAGCTAAGATGCAGTGATGCTACATTACATTGCAAAGCGTTTGAAGTTTCTTGGGAAATATCTTCAGAATGACTTA